GCACTTTCGCCGCTTTCTCTTACGACGGGGATGTAGATCGTCGATCTTGTTAATGAATGCGCCGACCTGATCCACGCTGTCCTTATAGTAGGATCCAGCACATAATCGTCCTTGTCAGTCTGCAGAGGTTTCGGATCCGCAGCTTCCTTTCTGGAAAAGTTCTTTGTTCAGTTTTCCATTTATTTGCGACTGAAGATTTTATCTTCCCCAATTTATAGGCCTCTTGACATTTTTAAAATAATCTTGTCCTGTATTATGAAATCCTCGATTTAGCTGAAGGCATTAGCCGTACATTAGTTTCAGTTTGGCACAACTCTTTCTAGAAGATGATGGTTGGATCTAAATCTTAGCAATCGAAAGAGCAAAGGTGACAGGTATACACTCGTAAAACCACTTTTCAGATTGTATTACAGACGACGGTGCTGACCTTTAAAATATATATGTATTTTTAGCACCTTTGCAAGAATTCATCCGTGAAAACCCATTATCGTAGAACTTACACCAGTCATCTTCAGATGGGACGTTACATCAATATTAAAATTTCGGTAAGCCTCACAGATCAGTTTTCCGGGGTTTTAGGCGTTGATGGCGACAACACCTGGACATCACATGACATTCTCTGTCAGGCACTCCTCATTAGATGACTTGGGTCAGTTTAGTAGTAGTATTGTTTCACGGTAGTTTGTATCACATAGAAATAATCTTTATAACACTAGACCATTGTACGAGTTTCAAAAGAGCATTTATTATTACATGATATTTAGTGGTTTCATGTGATCTACAAGAAAATGTAAATTACCTTTATTTTTGTACAATTAATTGATAAAAAGGGAAGCAAAATTTTGAAAAATAATTCATTTTTTATTTTATTATATTAATTATATATTAATTATATAACTACTAGCCGAATGACCCGGGCAACGCCCGTGTTTTACCCGATTGAATGTTTTTATTCAAATACTATTTGTTACAATTATAAATTGGAGCCGTGGATGTCACTCTTGTGAAACGTCCCGCTCCAAACTTTACATGTACATTAGGTCAGCTGGTATTACCCCTCATTTTCACCGCTAGAGGCGCGAGCGAATTGACTTTTTGTAAATATACATAATTATAAAGATAGAAGCTTCTATAGAAGATAATGATCATAATGATGATGCGCGCGCATCCGTGACAGCGATGAGGAATTGAGGAAAGACGGTCGTGACTATATATGTTGATAATAAAATAATAATAATAATATAATTATTATTATTATTATTATTATCATTAGATAATGATAATGATCATAATGATGATGCCCGCGCATCCGTGACAGCGATGAGGAATTGAGGAAAGACGGTCGTGACTATATATGTTGATGTTGTGATATGCAATATGCACAAGTGTTCTATGCAATAATTCCAGATATGGATATTAAACAGGCTAACGTCTATTGAGAGTGAAACCCCCACTGTTTATTGTTTAATACACAACCCCACAAAGTCTGACAGGATTCTTCTTGGGACAGGGTGGAGATTTTAAAGGTGGAAGAAAGAAAAGCGCACAATCCAGAAGATCTTATTAAGATATTAGTTTATTATTCTCACTATCTCTCACTTTCTCTCTCTCTCTCTCTCTCTAGGATACAAATGTTAAAATAAGATAATATAAAACAAAGGTGAAGGCCTAATAGGAAACAAATGTGAAGAAAGAATTGTAAAAAAGGGTGAAGACAATATAAAACAAGGGAGACAACAATATAAAACAAGGGTTAAAGCATAATAGAAAACAAGGGTGAAGACATAATTGAAAACAAAGGTGAGGAAAATACCAAACGACTGTGATGGCAATATAAAACAAAGGTGAAGGCACAATGAAAAACAAGTTTGAGAATATATAGATAATTGAAAACAAGCGTGAGGACAATACAAAACAAGGGTGAAGACAATATAAAACAAAGATGAAGGCATAATAGAAAACAAGGGTGAAGACAATATTGAAAACAAAGATTGAGACACAATATAAAACATGGACGAGGACATGATAGAAAACAAGGTTGAAGACATTATGAAAAAAGAAGAGGGATATAATTAAAAACAATGTTGGAGACATAATAGAAAACAATAATGTAGGGATAATAGAACACAATAATGGAGTTAATAGAAAACAAAAATGGAGACATAATAAAAAAAATGGATGAAAAAATAATAGAAAATAAGGGTGAAGTCCTAATAGAAAACAGAATAAAACATAATGGAAAACAGATGGAGAAATTATAGAAAACAAGGGTTAAATATATTAGAAAACAAGGGTGAAAACATAATAGAAAACAAGGGTGAAGATATATAAGAAAACATGGATAGATGCGCATAATTGAAAACAAGAGTGAAGACAATATAATACAAGATAAAAATAGAAAACAAGGGTTAAGCATAATAGAAAACAAGTGTGATAACATATTTGGAAACAAAGTTTAAGACATAATAGAAAACATGGATTAAGACATGATAGAAAACAAGGTTGAAAACATTATGAAAACAAGGGCGGGATATATTTTATTTTAAAAGGGTGAAGACAATAGAAAACAGTTGAAGACATAATTGAAGACCAGAATGAAGACATAATAAAAAAATATGGATGAGTATAATTGAAAACAAGGGTGATTTCATAATAGAAATCATGAATGAAGACCTAATAGAAAACATAAAAGAAGACATAATTGAAAACATAGATGAAGAAATAATAGAAAAAAGTGTTAAATATAATAGAAAATATTGTTTAAGACATAATTTAAATCAAGGGTAAAGACATAATAGAAAACATGGATGAAGACATAATTGGAAACAAGAGTGAAGAAATAATTGAAAATAAGGTTGAAGACATAGAAGAAAAACAAGAGTGAAGACAACATAAAAAATATAGAAATAGAAAACAAAGGTGAGGCATAAAACTAGTCCTGAAGACATAATAAGAAATAAGAATAAAAAATTATATAAAATGAGCGTGAAAACATAATATAAAACAAGGGTGAAAACATATTTTGAAAATAAGAAGAAAAAAATAAAATATGGGTGATGTTATAATAGAAAACAATAATGAAGACACAATAGAAAACAAGGATTAAGAAATAAAAAAAAAAACACTGAATGCTGTATTCCATTTATACTACTCACCCGGTAAATTACTTTAAAGGAAAAGCACTTACAGCAATTAACGCCACACACCCAATATTAATAAAATCAAAAGAAAAATCAATAAATTTATCAATCAAACTCTTCGATACAATAGTGAGAGCTGCCCTGATGTATGCCGCTCCATTGTGGGCAACAGAGCATGAAGACTTACTGGACAGTATACAAGACTGTTAAAGATTCATTGTTCTTTATTTGTTCCAAAATATATGTAAAGGCTCGTTTTATTTCCAATCTTTAAAAGTAAAAATTATGCCTTGGTCCAATGGTTGTAATAATGAAGTTGTATTTTTTGGTAAAAATGTTACTTTAACGTTCTCAAATTCTAGATCTTGTGGGTAACCCGGCGCATTGTCAATTAACAAAGCACTTTAAAAGGCAATCCCCTTGAACTTAAATATTTTTTGGTATCTGGGATAAAACATTCATGAAACCATTCAGTAAACATTGCAGCAATAACCCACGCTTTCTTATTAGCCCTCCAATAAACGAGAATATTATAGATGTTTACTCCTTTAAAGGCACGGGGCATATTTGATTTGTTAATCACTAATGGTTTCATAATATAATCTCCTGAAGCATTGCTACAGAAAAGAATTGTTATGCGATCTTTTGCTGCTTTATGACCACTAGCCGATTTATAAAATTTTGAAACATAAGTCCTTTCAGGCATTTTTTTCCAGAATAACCCTGACTTATCAGCATTGAAAACCTGATCAGGGGTGTATGAATTGTCGTTAATAATTTCTGCAAAATTTGCTGGATATTCTTGAGCTGCATCTACGTCGCCAGAAGCCAGTTCACGTTTTAATTTTAAGCTGTGTAAAGAATGTCTTATTTTAAATCTTTCAAACCAGCCACGACTTGCCAAAATATTTGGCTTCTTTTCAGTTGAAGAAGATGGCAATTGCTCTACGATTTTTTCGTAAATTCGTAATGCTTTATTTGTTATAGCGCCCGTATCAATGGGTACTCTTTTTTGTGTTTGATCTTCTATCCAAAGCATTAACGCTTGCTCCATTTTTTCCATTGCGATATTTCTGATGTATGATGTTGTGCCCATACTCGTTGTATTGCCAGCTGCAACACTCTTTCTAATTGTGTTTTAATTTGTTCTAATAGTTCTTATTGTAGCTTCGTTCATGCTATATGATTTTGCATCATCTACTACTCTATCTCCCTTTCGTAAGCGATCCGAAATTTCGATTTTAGTTTCTAAAGAAATAACTTTTCTTTTAACTTCTTTCTTCATTATAAGCCAATAATATTTTTAAAATTTATGTTAATTTGGCTGTGATTAAAGTAAAATTCAGAGGGAAAAAATGCGGTAAATTTTGGAGAAAAGATTAAAAACTTTTATTTTTAAAAAAATATTTTATATTATTATTTTTATTCAAATTAAAATGTTCTGATTTTTTATTTTAATCAAACCTATTTGGTAAATTGCCATCATTTCCTTCCAAAATTTCCCGCATTTTTCCCCGCGACAAAAATTGCGATAAAAAAAAAAAACTTATTTGGAAAACCGTGTAAAAGCGAAAACGTGTAAAACAAGTACCGTGTAAATCGGGGGATAGGTGTACTTGGAACACATTTTAAGCATTATTACAATTTATAAATGTAATTTCACTAGATGCCGCGAGAGTCGTTGTGAGTAAAGTATAAATTTGCAAATAAAATTGCAAAGAATATTTATTTCAAATCAAATTCAAACCAGAAATCTTCCCACTAGTATCTACTTATATAATTGCCTTATTCTGTCTGTGTGAAGTTCACTGTGTGAAGTTCACGGATAGATTTTGGTCAGAATGGATAAAATAAAAAAAGTGTCAAGTGATGGGAATCGAACCCACGACCTTCCGCTTACCGGGCAGATGCCATGACCACTAGGCTACCCTGGACATATTTTTCCGTAAATAAAGTTAATATATGATGCCAATATATATAATAATTGTATAAACGAATGCAAGACAAAATCACCGCGAATGTTTCTTTTTTTTTTAAGGCAATTTCTTTTTAAGGCAATTATCGTTTTGCACAATTACTTAATCTTTTAAAATAAATAACAAAACTTAAATGAAAATATGTTTCTTTAAATAAAATAAAATAAACTTTCAAATCGGTAACCTTTATGAGAACCTTTAAATATATATAAGTAACTTTAATCGATAATCTTTATAAGAATAAAATATGTAATTCATTAAATAGAAATTTAATTTTTAGTATCTCATTTATATTTTATTGTATTATATTATATATTATATTTTATATTATTATTTATATTATTATATATATTATTATTATTATTATATTTTTTTAAACGTGATAGTATTGTTAAGCCTTATTTTATTTTGCGATTTTTTTGTTCATGTTGGTAGGATTTGTGTGTGTGAAATTTATTTCCATTTTTCTTCTTTATCAGATTGTGAATGGCTGAAAACAACCTTCAAGAAAATATCAACTTGAATCCTACATTAACTTGGAGGCAGAATGGTCACTCCAGCCAGTCAGATGAAGATATAGAGAGAAGTGAGAATATCTTTCTTATCCAATCATTTTATAAATATGCCGATAGAAAGGGAAGGGCAGGAAGAAATTCTTGGCCTAAAATCCAAGAAGAATACCGAAAAAGCCGATTTGGACGCGCAATAAATCTTGGTACTCTAAGAATAAAGGTTTACAAGCTTATCAAGGACGAAAGATACATAGATATCGTCAATGAATACAGAGGGACATCCAACGGATCTGCACCTGTTGTAAGCCAGAGTCAGGAAGAAGACGAAAGAGAAAGTACCTCAAATGTTCCAGACAACGGCGAGCAAACCAGTGACAGTAGAACTTGCGATAGTGAAATCACCAATAACCAAATAGGCCAAGAGGAAGGTGAGAGAACAAACGAAAGGGAAGATAGGGATTCATCAGAACTAGTAAGCCAACCAGATAAGGAAAAAGAAACAAATGAAGAGGCAAACAGCGATAACCCAGTAAACATAGAATTGCGGCTGAGAGTAACAAGGGCAATGGAGAAAGCGACAGAAGAATGCTCGAACAATTAAATTAGAACAGAAAAATTAATGAGTGGACATCGACGTTCGAAATCCCATACGTAAAATATAAAAAGCATATTCTAGAGGAAATTAACAATTACATTGAGGAAAACCTAATGGGGAATCTGAACTTGGAGAAAATCAGCAAAATTATTTATGCAGCGCAAATGGCATATGAACAGTTAATCAAAAAGCCGCAAAGAGCGGGGGACTGGAAATATCCATTGAACAAATCAATCCAAGAGAAAGAAAATATGATGAAAATAATTGAAAAACGAATAGAATCTGGAAAAATGAACAGCAAAGAAAACCACATGGTAAAACAAGTAGCCAAGAAATATAGAAGCGACCCCAGGAAAATATCAGATTTAAAAATAGTTCAAGAAAAAATAAACCAAGAAATAAAAGTAATACAGAAAAGAATAGAGGTATCAGAAAAAAGAAGTGAATTTAATAAGACAAATTATATGTTTGAACTGAATAGGGGAGCATTTTACAGAAAATTAAAGCCACAAAAAGCAAATGAAGGCCCCATTAATGAAGAAGATTTAACAAATTTCTGGTCCAAAACTTGGGCGAAGAATCAAGACCTCGATATTCCGGAATACCTCATCCAGAATATTGAGAAAACAAACAAACCTATCGAGCAAATAGAAATAGCAAAAGAAGAATTCGAGGAAACATTGAAAAATTTGCCAAATTGGAAAGCAGGCGGTATAGATAAAATTTATAATTTCTTTATTAAAAAATTGACCCCGCTACACGAATATCTATATAAAGCCGTTGTTCAAGCTATAAGGAATCCAGAAACAATTCCAGATTGGATGTTTACTGCAAAAACCTTCTTGTTTCCTAAAGGAGGAGAGAACACCCCCAGCAACTACCGCCCCATAAGTTGCATGAGCAACCTGTACAAATTAATCACGCGGATATTATCTAGAAAGCTGAACAAATACATAGATAAGGAACGATATCTGTTTATCAATCAGATAGGAACGACGCAGCGAACTCAAGGCGCCAAGGAACAGGTCTTATTAAACAAAGCTATATGCAAAGAACACGCAAATAAACTGAAAACCATGTGGTTCGACATAGCGAAAGCTTTCGACAGCATCGACCACATATACTTGCTTAAGATATTGGAAACATCAAGAGTTCCAAAAGAAATTCAATAATTCGCAAAAATTGCCCTAGACAAATGGCATGCACAGTTGTACTATGGCAAGCAGTGCCTCAAAACAGTGAAAATAGAAAGAGGAATAGTGCAGGGAGATGGGCTATCACCTCTTTTCTTCGTCATGTGCCTCGAGCCGATAACAAGGGAGCTCAACAAAGAAGACAGTCCCCAAGTGGAGATGAGAGTGGGAGAGGAAAAAATTAAAATAAAAAACCTATTGTTTATAGACGACATAAAAATATTTTCCTATAGCGACAAGGATCTTGAGCTCTTAGCGAACAAGACAACTCAGCTTTTGAATAATTTAGGCTTCAAAATCAACCCGACAAAAACAGCGACAAACTCCACAGAAATTCAGGAATTTGGGACACTGGCAGAAAAAGAAACATATAAATATTTAGGTGTTCTAGAGGATTACACCAGCGCAGTCGTCCCAGAAAATAAAGAGAGAATAAAAAGAGAAATAGTATCCAGAATGGAATCTTTAGCGGAAACCAAGCTGAACGCTAAAAACCTCTTCGCTGCTTTCAACGAATTTTCGCTCTCGCTCATAAACTACTACGTTGGAATCGTGGAGTTTAGTGAGCGAGAACTAGAAATGTTGGACCAAAAGGTGAGAACAACGCTGAGCAAATTCAAAATCCATCTTAAGCCAGCAAATAAAGAAAGATTATATCTTCAACGCGAAAATATGGGAAGAGGATTGGTGAACTTGGTCCAAAAAAAAACGAAAGAATTCTGCTAAGCCTCTACAAGTATATATTTGGGGGGGAGACAACAAAAAGAAAGGAAGCCATTAAAGCGTGTGAACAGGGCGAAAACACAATGCTCACGCACATCCAACTAATTATAGAAAACAAGTACAAAATAGAAGCCCAAAACATCACAATGAAAACTCTGAAAGAAAAACAGATTGAAAATCTAAGAGAAATCATTGGCCGGAAAATAATCCACAGAACATTCTTTAAAAATGAAGACCAACCGCTATTGGACATGATAGAATCCTCACAGTGGCTCAAAACGGGAAACAACACACCACAAAATGAAGGATTCTACATGTTCATACAAGATAGAAACGTGTTCCCGAAGGATAAGAACCTGAAATGCCCTCACTGTGAAAAGGTACAGAGGACGGTGGACCACCTTGCTACAAACTGTGGAAGATTGCTTCCTTACGACTACACTGAGAGGCATAATGAAGTGGTGAGATGCGTCCACTTCAACTTGGCAAGAAAATATAATTTCACAGAGAACAAGAAGATAAAGCTCCACAAAATAACGACTAAGATTGAAAATTCATACGCCAAGATAATAACGGACCTGCCAATGATAAGCGATATCAATATCAGAGCTAACAAACCTGATATAATAGTATATGACAAAATAAAAAAAGACATAACACTCATAGAGATAGGGGTTACCTCCCAAGACAATATCCAAACTACGGAGCTGACAAAGAAAAGAAAATACCAGCTACTGGCGAGGGAAATGGCCCAAACTGAAAAAATGCCCGTAAAAGTAGTGCCGATAGTCTTAACATGGGATGGAATAGTAACCAAATATAACAAACAATACAGGAAGGAAATAAACATAAGAAAAAGGGACTTTGCATATATTCAATCCCTGGTGCTAAAAAAGACGATGGAAATTATCTCAACAGAAAAGAAGAATGAACCTTACGATAAGTTACAGAGAAATAAAGAAATGGAAGCCATGGATAGATTGTTGGAACGATGTAGGGAGCTGGCATGTGATGACGAGGAAGGTGGAACACCGGACATGGAGCACAGGGATACGACGACCATAGAAGAGATCCAGGAGAACGACCTAGAGCAGATGACAGGAGACTTGACAGACAAGAATGGATCAATGCCAGGGGACCATCTTATCGAGGAGCCACTAGTAGAGGCCATAGAAAGACTGCTGGAGAGCTGCAGGACATCAGGGGACCATAACGGCAAGGGCCACAGCACTGACCAGGAGTCATGATAGCAAATGTAAATATCTTTGTTTACTTTTACTGTTGTCATTTATTGAAGTTGTAAATAAAAATATGTAAATAGACTGACCATTCGCTACACTTTTTAGAGAAAAACTTGTAACCTTTTGGAAAATAAATTTTATTATTATTATTATTATTATTATTATTATATTTATATATTACATCACGACGTGGGTAAGTGTAAACAAGTTTTTTTCCCTCTCCCAAAAAAACCTGGAAAATTGATCAAAAATAGCGCCAAAGTGATAATTTTCCAATATTAAAAACAAACATTTTCGAAATAGTAAAGGGCAAGGTAAAAATCTGTATCAAAAAATAAGAATTTTCGAAAATTTGATCAATTTTAGTGTCTTAGAAAGTTGCAAACACGTGCTTTTACAAACGTGATAGTATTGTTAAGCCTTATTTTATTTAGAATTTTTTTTGTTCCTGTTGGTAGGATTTGTGTGTGTAAATTTTATTCCCATTTTTCTTCCTTATCAGATTGTGAATGGCTGAAAACAACCTTCAAGAAAATATCAACTTGAATCCTACATTAACTTGGAGGCAGAATGGTCACTCCAGCCAGTCAGATGAAGATATAGAGAGAAGTGAGAATATCTTTCTTATCCAATCATTTTATAAATATGCCGATAGAAAGGGAAGGGCAGGAAGAAATTCTTGGCCTAAAATCCAA